TTAAAACTTTAAACCTTTTTATAAATTACTAGCTTTTGCCCACTACTTCGTCCACGTGATATAGTTACTTTGGGCAGCATATATTTTTCAAAAACGCTGTTGTTTTTCGAGCTGATGATAAAATTACCTTGATGTTTAAGTTCGAACTTACTACAACACCAACAAACAACAAATATCATTGGATATTCATCAGTGCTATAAAACATACGATAAAGCATTTTGTAAACAATAGTAGCTCGGTGGCGTAGTGGATGAGCGCCGCGGCCCGCGATCGTTGTCGTTAAGCAACTTTCGCAAGGGTCGGTCACGGGATGGGTGACCAAAAAATTATTATCTCGAGCTACTCCGTGCTTCGGAAGGTACGTTAAGCCGTTGGTCCCGGCTGCATTTGCAGTCGTTTATACCCTCCAATCCGCATTGGGCCAGCGTGGAGGGTCATCGCCCATCCTCCTTAACCATCAGTGGGGACGTAAAAAGGCTGGTGATGATGATGATGATGAAACAATATTAGGTAAATTTATTACAATGACAAATCAGATTGTAAACAATGGTTGTTATGGTAACATTTTGATTCCCCTTAAAACCTTTCACTCCTATTTTTATCCCTTTAACCTTTTAGTTTTCGGGTTAAAATATAACCTATTACCTTCCTAGAGTCATAAACTATCCAAACACCAATTTTCATTAAGATCGGTCCGTAAACTAAGTTTCAAACAAACTATTTCACCCCCTTCGAGATGGAATTTACAAAAATACGTTCTTAGTACACCTCCACGTATTAAGGGTAATGTTCCCTCCACATTTCAAGTTTCTACGACCAGTGGTTTAGGCTATGCGTTGTCTGTCAGTCAGTCAGGACATCTTTTATATATGTATAAATGATTTCAGTTACAAAATTCTTCGATCTCTCTTCGGGCGGATTTTTCTGAATCGAAATAAGAAAAATCTGTTTTCTTTATTATTGAAATCATTTTATTACACATAAAAATATATATCGAAGCATGGCATTTTATTTTTAAAATATGACATCGCGTACATTAATTATTAATTAAGTAGCTAAAGCATTTGTATAATGGCAATCTGAAATAATGAAGATAGAGTATCACGACCTCCGTAGCCGAGTGGTTCGCACGCCGGTTTCAAGGTGTCGCCATCTCTGAGGTCCCGGGTTCGATTCCCGGTCGGATCAATGTAGAAAATGAACTTTTCTATATTGACTCGGGTCTGGGTGTTATGGTACCTTCGTTGTCTCAGATACTCCATAATACGGGGGCTTTAGCTACTCATCTTGGACTCTGAGCAATGTATGTGATGTTGCTAAATATTAAAAAAAATGTATCACCCACGCGCACGTGGTATTATTGAAATGCTACGTATTTGCTATTCTCTGCTAGTAGTAGTAGTTGTAGTAAGTTATGATCCTATTAAATAACACAGGGAAAGTTTAATGGTTTATAAAATAAAGCAATTAAAATAATACCACGTGCTCGTGGGATCGGTTTGTTTTGTTTTGGTTGGTTGTATTGGCTTAGATAATTTTTGTAAAGAAACGGCTGCGATTTTGTTGTATTCTATCTATTAGCGTAATGATTCCAGATTCCTACTTATATTATAAATACGGAAATAACTATCCGTCTGTCACGCTTTCAATAATAATAATATCTGAATGAATGTTATAAAAGTAATAGTAAAAAATTCATTTCGTTTACCTTTCTTTCCTGGGCCTTTCTTTCTTTCTTTATATTTATATATAACTTAATTCTATTCTAATTATATACTTACAATTAGAAATTATCAAAACAACAGGTATATAGTTATAGTTCCATATTGACTTGAGAGTAAAAGATGAATTTAGAAAATTCTAGCCTCATTGCAAAAGAAAATGGAAAATTGCCCAACTCTTTCAGACTATCTAACGTTCAAAGTATCAACAAAACTATTATATATATTTTTAAAATTTATCTTGAAAATAAAATGTTCTGCACTGCTGCTTCTGTGATCCTCTTTTTTCTAATATTATAATGAATGGAGTATAGTTGACTTGAGATAGGATATAAGTTACTACATATATAAAGTGATAAAAGGATTGAAATAGGGAATCTTAAGTTTGTATGAAAGTTCGCCATTGTCCAAGTATCATTTATTTGACACGACATAATGAATAAATATTTCTTTTATCGATTTTGAAAATGCTGCCCAAAATCACTATAACACGCGGACGTAGTCGCGGGATAAGACTAGTATATATAATAAAATATATATAATAATACTTTATCTGCTATAAATAGGGTACATTGCAATTAAGTGGATGATTGTCTTCAATAATGTAATTAGACCTATTTAACCATATTATATAATTAGCATGCAAATGTCAGTTTAACTTAATTTCAAAACAATGTAAGTTTTATGTAACAATAATAATTAATTACATTACAATTACATTTTTGAAATATTTTGTGAATTGTCAACTTAAACATTAATTATAAACTATTAAAACATTAAGATTTAAACTCTTCATCGACCACAACTATGCTATTCCTTGTGATTTAAAAAATCTTCCATCGTATAGAAGGTATGGTGCAACAGCCATTGACGTAACAATTTTTTAAATTTCTTAATAGGTAGGTTTTTAAATTGTAGTGATATTTTGTTGTAGATAGTTTGACACATGGCGGTACAATGTTTTTGGTAAAAAAAAAAAAGAAACAAAATACTGCCACCTGAAAATGTAAAGACTTGGCAAAGTTAAAAGTTCAGAGATTTGAAATAGGCTTAACATGATTAGAATTTTTAAAGGTATGTCCGTTAAAACAGATGTCAAGTGACTGTTTTTCAAAATTATTAAAATTAATTATATTTCTTTTTGATAAATTATTTTTTAGATTATTGTCTTGTAGCCAGTTCAAATTAAAAAGCCGACTGAAGTTAGACATTTTCTGTAATTACAAAACCATCAAATTATGTAACTATGATATAAATTTAACAGACAGGCCCATGTTATTTATAAATAATATAGATAGAGCAGAGAGTGGGGAATATCCTGGTCCAACTATATAAAATATATATACACCATTCAGATGGTGGGTTTTACACGAATTCCCTGACACCTCGCACATATATGAGTACTCCAGCCTGCAGATGTTCTCAGATAACATGTAAAAAAATAAATAACTTTTTTTTTTTAATACTTTATAGGTTAACGCTTGACTACGAACCCACCTGATGGTAAGTGGTGATGAAGCCTTGGGTGGTATAGCGCATTAACCTAGTAGCAGTCTATTCACTCTCGATTTGAAGACATAATTTATATCAGAACAAAAACTTTATTTATCACAACAAAATTCCATTAATTGTTACAAAACTAACCAAGAATTTGTTTACTAATTTCTCAATTTGTAAATAATTTAAGAGAAAAAAAAAGGAATTATTGGTAAATAAATTATTATTTCTTGAAAGAAACATTATTAGTGTCATTTTAACTCAATAAATTTTCCCCTATACTTATGATGTGATTTAAGTACATCTCATAAGGTATATCTCATTTTCACTATCAACATAAAGTTGGCGATTCTTTTATGTTATCCTCTCGAGATTATCTACTCTATTGTTTATAAATTGTCAAAATTTGTTATTTCTATTCTTCTAAAATTTCAAAAATGATGGTCATTAATTCTACAGAATGTTATATTTTTATACGTACATTTTATTTTTACTTAGTACTTTTATGTTCAGAAACAGGATTGGGTCACTTTTTTTTTAGAGATTACACCAAAAATTTTTTTTTTTTTTTAACTAACGATATTTTGTGTAATTGGACGGTGTTATAATTATTTCTGGGACTATAGCAAATTTTCCTACGAATAAAAAAGATCCACAAATAAAATAACAGAATTAAAAGTCAATATACAAAGTTTATTCAGTCTATTTACAAGCACTCGTGAATGTCGACAAGCTACGCCATCGGTTCGTAAGTCTACGGCGGGAGACCTTGTACTGAGAAGAACCGGCAAGAAACTCAGCAAGGGCTGCTTTTTTCTCCCTCTTATGTTTCATACAGAGTTTTTACACAGAAACTAGTCTCGCAAGATTATGTTAAAATACAAAATTAAAAAAATACACTAACTAAATAGTACAATTTTAAGAGAGAATGAAAAACCTAACTAATTACAAGAATATAAAAAGAGAAATAAAAAAATGCTAACTAAATACAAGACTATACAAGAAGAATTTAAAAAAAAATTACTTACGAATACAAAAAACAAAATAAAAATAAAATAGTAACTAAACAAAAGACTATACAAAGACAATTTAAAAACTTACTAAATATAAATATAAAAATAAAATTGAAAAAAAAATACTAACTAAATACAAGAATTTTTAAAAGAGAAACGTAAAGTTATTCTAGCGTGCGCCACCCTCGTCCCACTACGGGCCACGGGCCACGGGCAGGCCCACGGGTCAACGCTAGCTGGGCTCGTTTCTACCATCTAGTCATCCTGAAACAAAAACACAACATTACAAATGAACCTACGAATAAATAAATCTCTTAATTCGTTCTATATGCATTCGACAAATTTTTTGAACGGTCGTTTTTTTAAAGTTGTGATTACAATAAAATAGCCAATGGCAGAGTTTAACAACCTTGAAAAACAATCTATGTAGCGAATTAAAAAATATACTTACTTTATTTGGTTCTGACTCGGTCAAATCGCTGTTTCACCTCTTGGATGCCACCTGGAGAAGATCTGAAAAAATGAAGAAACCATGAGAACCATTGAAAAATATGAAAAAGAATTTATTGAATATTATTTTTTTTATTAATGTACCTAGAAAAACTCGATTCAGAAGTAGGTTATCTTAGTCGAGGGTAGACAAGAAAATTTCCATTTTCGTGATTTTAACATTCGAGACGGTTTAGAAAAACATAAAAAATAAAAGGTGGTTTCAGTCCATATATAAGAAACATGGAGGTATATCGAAAACAGTTACTTACCGTGTGATCAGCCGGCGCACGTCGGACAGAACCATTTCCCCTCCGGCGCCTCGGTTATACCCACGCAGGTGTAATGGTACCACTGGTACGCGCAGTGGTCACCATCGCACCCGATCATATAGGCGCCGGGGATCTCCTTGCCGCAGGAGCAGTAGATACTGTCCCGCGGCTGTTCTGATACAGAGCCTGAGCTTGAGCTGGAGCTGGAGCCGGAGGCGGCATTCTCCACATCGGCGTCAGGTTCGTCGCCGTACACGATGTCATCGTACGGCAGAACGTTGCATATGTGGAGCGCGTACTGCCACCTCCGCACCGGGCATCTGCTACAGCTCAGGCTCTCTGTGCCGTGTCGCCAGAAAAGGTGGCACACCAGGTCTCGATACAGTTTGAACTTCGTGGAGCAGGCGCCGCACTCGTACTTCCTTAATCCTTCCACGTCCACGCCGGCGGTCCTCATCGTCGATATATGCGGAAGTATTACCACCAACGTGAATGTAGACAGGATGTGCGGCTTCCACGTCGTCCGAGCTGTACTGACTTGGAATAATGACGCTTTCGAATTTATACCTGAGTTAACGATCACGGGAGGGTCGAGAAGGGGGTAAGTACCACGTGCTAGACAATGAGTGCGATATTAGCCATTTTGAATGAAGGGCTAATTTGTTTACCACTTTCGATGAATGTAAATAGTTTTGTCCTAATTAGTTTTCTATTTCTATGACACCCGTGTGTTCGTGTATTGTTTAGGCTCCAGGTAGGAATGACCTCATCGGTAAGCTCATTTGTTGAAGACTGCTAATTATTATTATAATAGTGTGATATTATACTACGTGGGGGGCATTTTCCGTTGAATTATTTTGACACTGATGTGAAACTTTCAGCTGTTTTCAAATATTATTGTAACAAGTTAAAAAATGTATATTTCGATCGTTCAGGTTTAAAAACTTTACTGACTAGAATCGTAACTGACTGACTGTAGAATGGAAATAATAAGAAAAATGTTTTATGATGTGTAGGTAGTATAGGAATTCATATATTTGTGATTACCATCCAATTCGGTCATATCGGATCCCAAGTAGCACAAAACACACACAAAAAGCACGAGTCCAAGCGTTAAGCATTATAATAAAATCGTATATCAACCGTATTTCTTTTAAACGACTCTTATACATAAAATTTGGGCCCCCCCTTTGTACGACTTTAAGCTTTATAAAAGCTGTGCAATAGCACTACAACTTTTGTATAATAGCATTAATAAAGTCGGGTAAAAGCATTCTAATAGCCACAAAAAGTTCAATTAGCACCTTAAAGTGCTAATTGAACTTTTTGCGACTATATTACAATTGATATGCGTAAATCAAAATTATAATACTTTAATTTAATATTATAAAAATGCTTACTGTTTTATTTCCTTTGTAAAAAAGTATATTTAATAGATTTTAAAAACATATAATCGGTTTAAATTATTGTTTTGTGTAAGTGTCATCACATGTTCTCTTGGCTGGTCTTTTAAGTATTTTTGAATATTGATTTTAACAGCTCGTTTTGTGTGAAATAAGCTGCACACATCAGTTTGTGGAGTAAAATATACAAGGTTATGGTGTAAAATACACGCGCCTTCGCAAACTTCCTTTATTATAATAAAAATAATAAAAAAATTGACCTAGTAGCAAAAATTTTTGTTGAATTTTAGGCTTTTTAGCATTGTTTTAACAACATAATTGCTTTTATAGGCATCTGTGCACAAATGTTTCATCTGACACAGTTGACTTTAAATATTTTGTAAGAATTGGAAAAAGAAAGCAAATGGCGACTCGTAAAATTAAAGCATTAGGTATTCAAATATGGTGTAGTAGAGCTGTTAATCGTATTATGGTTAGACACAAAACTAAGAGCTCGTAATTCATCGTATAACACACTCCCATTTTAGGTACAGCCGTATTTTTACACTTCAGAAGTATCTTATAGTGCTTATAATCATCAAACGATTATTTCATTTTTATTTTGATTTTTAAAAGCTTCAATTAAATTAGAATACTCTTTTTCAGTTTTCATTTATATCCACCTGTTTTCTTTGTTTTTCCCAACGTTTTTTGTCCATGGCGCCAGCGATGCGTATAAAATGCCACCATTACAATACAATACATAAAATAATTTTACATTTTAATTTCACATAAAAAATAATTACGATCTATTTATTAGTTCTATCTCTATAAATAACTTAATATTGATCAAAATATAGCTTAATGTTTTATAAAAGCATAGATTAAGAAGATAAAGGAGCTTGAGCTTGATTAAAGAATACTTTAAGAACAAATCGGTGCTAAAGTTTTACTAGTTCTTTATTCAATATGTATTTAGGATAAGCATTAAATCGATACAACCATAGACCATTAGAAAACCTTTGTTTCTAGAAAATGACTAAATACAACTAAGTGCACTAAATAGTATTACGTTAATGCTTATATAATATATAATGTTTTTCATATCACCGAAATACGATAACAGCCTTATATTAATATTACCCAATACTTAAATAGGAGTTTTGACATTGGTATACTTTTTTTATTAACCATAATATGGCATTAAGCATTATTAGATAAAATAAATGCCTTTAAACAGATTCGAAACTTGACCAGAGCTGATTAAAAATGTTAGTATGACTTGAGGACATAAATCGGTACTTATTTTAGTTAATATATTATTTATGTGCTACTTGGGATGATACTGGTTAGAATCGAGCGTAGTAATAATAATACATTAACTGAATTCTTTAGTCACATGTAATCTAATTTTTACACTGCCTTACAAAATATAAACTTATATCTTCTTAGGTGGTATCAGAATGGGTTCACGTAGAAGAGCCCCACACACCCCCTGTCGCTTGCCAGGAGGCCCAAAAAATTAATTTCGACTAATTTTATTGAATTTCATTATTAAAAGAAGGCGGAAATAAATAAAAAATATAATAAAAGTGAACCTGGCTCGGCAATCCGTGTGTGCTTTATTAATATACCTACTACCCTGATACAAATACGAGAAAAACTGAAATAATTCAATATAAGCCTGGAATATTTTTAATCATGTTTGTGAGCCAATTACAAGAGACCATATTTAAGAATCCATCTCATTTTAGCTACGGAAGGTATAAAAAAAACATCAAGTCAAAAAAAGGAAATGAATTTCCTTCACTCAAAATTACTAACATTACTTTTTTCACAAATTTTGATTTTATTTATCATAGCGACAATGAAAATTACTGAAATCCAACTAAAAAATTTACAGGAAAAAGCCTTTTTTTTTAATTTATTTTTTAATTTTTTTTTAAGTAGTTTAATATGATAAAATTTTTATTTAAAGTATTTCTGAGTGTTTAAACTCAAAAGTCTGCTGCATCTATTGGGTGTTATATTTTTGCTTCATTAATAATTATAAGCCTATAGGTATGCAATATTCCCATGGAAATTTTCATTGGATTCAAAACAAAATATACTTAACGCAATATGTATAATAATATCGATTGAAGTCGTATTTCATTGTTAATATTATTGATTTTTTTACAAATATTTTTTAAATATTTATTGTCCGTGTTACATAAAAATATCGAGTTTCCAAATATAATACTAGGAAGATTTATGTATTTCATGGAAGTAACATAAGTAACAGCGTGAAAATACGTAAAGTCACTTTATATGTATTTTGCTTATCATGCCAATGAGAAATTAAAGGAATTTTATTTATTTATTTTTTACTAATAATCCGAAAGATAATGTCCTTGGATTAATTTATATATTAAAAAGGAAATATATGATACCCTCATAATTAAAAAAAACAGCTGTTATGTATTAATGTTTGATCTCCATACTGAAAGTTGGTATTTGTATCAGGCTATACATGTTATCTTACATTTGATGAAGGTATACTTTCTTATTTAGAATATAAGAATATTATATACTAGCTTTCCGCCAGCGGCTTTGCCCGCGTGGTCCGCTGGTAACTTACTCATAGATCTAAACTCACCTCCCGCCCGCGCACCCCCGCCTCGGTGACGCCCACTTTGCAACAGGCCGTGCAGCAGAAACCGTAATATTCTAATTTCGCCATAACTTCAAAACCAAACGTCCAATTTTAATCATTTAAAGACCAAGTATTATCTAAATAAACTGTACTTAGTGATGAAATAATTTATATTAATAAAGATTAATAGCATGAGTAAAATAAACGCGTTTAAATGTATTTCAAAAAAAGTCAATATTTTTAAATAAAAAAATGGTTGTTGTGCCTCACTCGACATACATAGATAGGTATAGTGTGTCGCGGACTTTTTTGTAGATATTAGTAAGATCTACAATTAATAAGAACATATTATGGTTCTATCTATTATAGTTTAGTTAGCGTACGCAAAATAAGTAACTTTTCTGATTGATTTTTTACACCCAGTGTCCGAAAAATCTAAATAACTTACGGCATCCTATTTTTTTCCAAAATAAAATATAGCCTATGTTACTTGTGGATAATGTAGCTTTCGAATGGTGAAAGAATTTTAAAAATCGGTCCAGTAGTTTTTGAGCCTATTCATTACAATTAAACAAACATACAAACAAAGTTTTCCTCTTTATAATATTAGTGTAGAAGTATGGTCTTGTACCACACACCTTGATTTTCATATACTTCACAATTTTTTTATAATGATTTGATGATGTCACATAAGTAGTTATAAGTACGTAGGTGAATCAGACGCGCAACCGGCTTGTTAGGCAATAGCGAGTTAATTAAAAAATTAATAATAGTCGCGTGGTTGAAGTGCTGGCGCGGAGGAATGTCCGGTGCTAAACCGTACATGCTTTGGGCCACCAAGATGATCATAAGATGAAACTAACCTGACCCTTATAAAGTACGTATATTGAATATATGTAGGTAGGTTTGTCGCAGTTGTAGATTTTATTACAAAAACAATAAACTTTTAATAACAAAAAAACTTTTAAAAATATATTTTTTTATATTTTCAGTGACATGAGTTGTAACTTAAAATCTTTACGTTTACTAGAATCTACTGACCCAATCCTAATATTGTTTTACGGCACTCCTTAGGTCAAGCCCTCTCATACGAACGGATTTATCAATATCAATCCACTTTCGACGAAGATATCATAATACGTACGCTAAAACAATCTTAATAATCTTTATTTAAGACTACCTCCTTTTTGAAGTCGGTTATGTACTTTTCATAAATAGGCGACATCTTAAAATTATTTTATTTTAATACAAGCATAGAAAATATTTAATAGGATTTGCTTTCACAATGCTTCATGTGGATTTTGTATGCTGTAGGTAGAAAAATATAAAAAAAAAATACAAATCTTTAAATATTGATTTTTGAAATCGATTCTTAGTAATTAAAACTTATTTATCTAGTAGCTCGGTGGCGTAGTGGATAAGCGCCGCGGCCCGCGATCGTTGTCGTTAAAGCAACTTTCGCAAGGGTCAGCAACGGGATGGGTGACCAAAAAATTATCATCTCGAGCTACTCCGTGCTTCGGAAGGCATGTTAAGCCGTTGGTCCCAGCTGCATTTGCAGTCGTTAATACCCTCCAATCCGCATCGGGCCAGCGTGAAGGGTCATGGCCCGTCCTCCTTAACCATCCATAAGGAAGGTCTGAGCCCCTGCAGTGGGGACGTGGAAGATGATAATGATGATGATATCTAGTAACCAATGTGTAGTCGTTACAGGTATAGTGCTACCGTTGTGGCTGATTCACACTTGCTAGAAATATGCCAAAGGTGTATTTATACGATTATATATATGTTTAATTAGCAATTTATTTGTTTACAGAACAAATAATCTATAGCGGCTAATATTATAGTGGCGATCCATTAAAAGACTTCGCCGGCATAAGGTTGCTCGATTGGTTCACGTACAAGAATCCTAAACGTCGCGTCGTCGACGACCAGGGAGTCAAGAAGGTGAAAGGTTCTCACCCCAAGCTCGCGATCAGGAAGAATTACGTACCCAGAGGTATGGAATACTGTTAAACTAATTAAAAAAACTATTACGATTATTTTAAGACATAACGTATATGTATATATAGTACGAGGGTCAAACTGAAAGTTCTTAGAACTGGCCACTTATAAACAATATAATAAAAAAATAATTCTAAAATTTGAAAATATAACTCTTTGCCAATATTACTGAGTATATATTTCATTCATTTGTCATTTGTTTTACGATTTGGCGGCAAATTGAAAATTGTCTGTGTCACGTCATCATGAATTTAACACGAGAAAATTTTCGTGCAATGATTTTTTATGACTTTCGATGTCATTTAAGTCAACAAGAAAGTTATGATAGACTACGATTGGCCTTTCACGATGAAGCCCCATCTCGTGCGACTGTTTACAACTGGTTTAATGAGTTTAAACGTGGTCGCACTAATCTCACTGATGATTTACGTGAGGGACGGCCTTCTACGGCGACGACTGAAGATAACATCTGTGTTGTGCGGCGTATGATAGAGACTGACAAAAGAGTGACCTATCAACAGATTCGGACAAGCTTAGGCATCGGTATGAGTCAAGTGCACAAAATCCTCCACGAACATTTAGCGGTCAGGAAGCTTTGCGCCCGGTGGATACCTCATAATTTGACTGAGGCTCAAAAACTCCATCGTGTGGATTGGTGTCGTAAAATGATTGAAAGATTTAACGGAGGTGACTCAAATGCTGTGTTCGACATACTAACAGGTGACGAAAGCTGGATTTACTGTTATGATCCTAAAACCAAAAGACAATCTGCTCAGTGGGTGTTTCCTTTCGAGGAGTTGCCAACTAAAGTGAAGAGAGATCGAAGTGCGGGAAAAAAAATGGTGGCCTCGTTCTTTGGAAGGATAGGTCATTTTGCAACAATTGTGTTAGAGGATCAAAAAACAGTTTCTGCAGAATGGTACACTACCAATTGTTTGCCACTTGTCTTGGAAAAAGTTCGAGAGAAACGACCTCGCAGTAGGATCCTCCTTCACCACGACAACGCCTCGTCGCACACCGCCAAGCGAACGATCGACTATTTGGCGACATCAAACGTTGAATTACTGGGTCACCCGCCGTATAGCCCCGACCTCGCGCCTTGTGATTTTTATTTATTTCCAAAAATTAAAGAAAAACTTAAAGGAAAGCGGTTTATGAATGCTGAAGAAGCGGTGGCTGCGTATCGCGATGCCATTGAAGAGACCCCTAAGGACGAGTGGGCAAAGTGCTTTTCCCAGTGGTTCCATCGCATGCAGCGGTGTATTGACGTGAATGGACAATATTTTGAAAAGATATAATAAAACTAATAACTGGCTAATGTAATCAGTTTTTGATTTTCTAAGAACTTTCAGTTTGACCCTCGTATAGCAATTTGAATTACTAACGTGAATAAGTAAAAAATTATATAAAAATATTTAGGTGCATATAATACGGATAATACTTACTACCCTCATAAGCGAAAAATCGGTACCTGTATATGAAAAATGTTTATTTCATCATCTAGACCAGGGCTTCCCTAACTGTGCGTCGCGACGCCCTGGGGCGTTGCGTGTTGATATATCGATACGACTAAGTCAAGTGATCGCCGCATGCATACTGTCAACGCGACGCGAACGCGGACATATGTGACATATTTAACGAATTAAATGATCTTAATAAGTGTTTGCAGGGAAACAATACTCACATCCTGCAATTGGCAGATAAAATTACTGGGTTTCAGAAGAAGTTACACTTATGAAAGAGAAAATTAGAAGATCAAGTAATTGACTGTTCTCCTGCTTTACAAAGTATTCTACTAGAATAATCGATAAAAATCCTGGATCCTTCCTTAAAAATAATATTTACACAGCACTTGCTCTCACTAAGCGAACACTTTGAAAAATATTTTTTCGATAATCTGGAGCAATACGACTGGGCTTACTTAACTGGAGCCCCGTTTTAAGAAACTATGCTCAGAAAAGCAAGCACATCCATCTTATTAGAGCCAGCCAGTTAGTTACATCTCTTTTTTTTATGCTTATGACTTATGTTTTGAATTTGTTTTCATTTATTAAAAAATATAAAAGTCTTGTCTTCCTGATAACCTGTTACTAGGTTAGTACATACAAAAACTGGTTAGTATTTTTGGGGACTGCGTTGAAGGGCGTCGTAAAAAAATGGCAAAGACTCAAGGGAGTCACAGTACAAAAAAGTTTGGGAAGCCCTGATCTAGACAATATCATATACATATAGGTTTTGGAGACTCCTTTTAAGCAAATCTTTGCTTGTATTGGGAGATCCCACTCTTCCATTTACATAGCACTATGTTTGTATATGTGAGATTTTAACAATTTTATATATTTATGTATAAAAGTAAAAACAAAAAGAGAAGAGAAAAAGAGAACTTTTTAATTTTAGTGCATCTAGTGCATATTTATTTGTAATTATATGCGCGCGCGGTGTGTGTGTGCGTGTGTATGTGTGTGTGTGTGTGTGTGCGTGTTCGTGTGTGTGTGTGTGTGTGAAAAATTTATATATATAAATTTAATTACATTAACTTTTAAACATATGAGGGTAGAAATATCCACCAGGCTGATGTATTTATTCCGTGTTTGGACATTGTGATGCAGGTCTGAAGAGTGTTGCGGTGAACTCGGCGTCCTACCTCAACGAGGACGCCAAGAAGATACCTGTCGATGAGAAGTTTTTATACGAGTAAATGATCGTTATTTATATTACGTCAGGTGTGACAATCGGTCTGTTCATGTTCGGGGAGGAACAACGGTGGTCTCCAGATTCAAGAGAAAAGAAAAGAAATAAATTGTATTATAAAAATATAGCCATCGTCCCAGACGTATGCATTATGGAGCTTCCCGGAAGAAAGAGTTTTAAATATTTTATCCCATTAGTATTTTTTATATCGAAGTGAAAAGTACTAAATAATATTGTATTTTTAATCGTAAAGATAATAAATAATAAATATCGGAAAACATTACACACATTGAATCGATTCCGATTAAGTAGTGTTATGTAATGTTCTGTGTTACTCTATGACACCTACCGATGAGGGTGTCTATGACAACTGATAGTCTGGTTGCTGTGTGTCACTTGATTTATTAATATGTAAGTTTACACATGTAATTAAAATTAGGTTGATTATACTAAATAAAGTAAACACTGAGATTTAACAACTGTCTGATTTAGGCACCTGTGTTACGGATATCAGAAACAACGGGGGGAATACAATACATACATAATATAAATAGATAACACCCAGACACAGAACAGACATAATTGTTAATCAGAAAAACGTTTGTACTGGTTGGGGATCGAACCCACGACTCTCGGCGTAATTGTAGGAACGCTAACACCGCGCCATAATTGTTAATCAGGAAAACGTTTGTACTGGTTGGGGATCGAACCCACGACTATCGGAATAGTAGGAATGCTACCGCCGCGCCATTGAGCCCGTCGGGGTCGCCATAGAGATCGATTTAAATGAGGGGGGCAATTCGTATCGTTAACTTTCGGCCACGACCGCGGGCCCAGACCGCAGGGGGCGGGGACGTGAAGTGACAATTCTGTTGCTGCGGCGCGCGGCCTCGCGTCTCGATGGGGATGGCGATGACGATGAGGACAGCGACGCGGCGTCCGTCGCCAGCGAAGACTTTGAGCGGTACATACACTGGCTGAAACAACCCCCCCCCCCCCCCTTACTATACATAACACGACCTATAACGCAGGATAATATGTATCGAATATGAGCTCCCGCGAGCGAAACCGCTGGCGGAAATCTGGTCCTGTTGCAATTAAAATGAAAATCGTCCGATCGGCGGGAGCCAATGTCCGGCGTTCGGATCATGAAGGGTTCGGTCGGAGTTCGAATCTCGGCCCTGACACCTGAAACTGTCATTTTATGTTTTAAATGAGGCTCCCTGACTCCGTTGGAGATTCTGGTTCCGATTCCTCTTCGGTCTTTAAAATAATATATTATCGTAGCGGCCGACTCGGACGAGGAGTTGGACTACCTCGGGGAGTTGGAGGCGGCCAAACAGAAGACGGTCGTTCGAAAGAGGAAAGCAGCCGCCAACGACCTGGACCAGCTCGACGACGACCTCAGCGACGGCGATGAAGGTGACCTACTTTCTTTTTTATCAATTTGCAATACACATTATCTTCTACGATATCACGTGCCCGGCGAAAATTCTCCGATCGAAATAAACTTTTGACTTTGAAAAGTTTCGAAATAGGAGTCAAATCAAATATAGTTTATGTTGAAAGTGTTGTTAGCATACGTCCGGATATCTGGTGCTCATTGCAGAGTAGGAGATATGTTTAAATTCCCCCCGAACCCCCCCTCCCCATTTTCTCAGAAAGATTAACTGACAACCGAGACATAAGATTTGTAATACATAGGTATTACCTCGCACATTATTTATCAATTGAAAACGCACTACAAGAAAATAATAAGCATTCGGTTGCCGGTCGGGAAGCGCGCGTGACGTCATCACATCACCCCCCCCCCCCCCCCATCGCCCCGAACCCGACCTAGTTTGCTAGGTCATTATTGGTGCAATTCTTTTATTTATTCTTTATTAAACAATACGCCCGCATCGGACGGGAGAATGGGCACTCGTTACCTTTTTGCAACTATTGTGGGAATGCGTATTCAAAAGAAATAATCGTATAATAGTTTCTAGACTTCTTAACGTTTTGTATACGTGCGTTATTTTGCTAAAGAGCGCTGGCGAGATAACGTACTAACAAAATAGTAAACAATGGCCTCCGTTACCGGCTTCGGCACCTTGGGAGTATTTTATGTGTATTGTTTAATTAATATTATAAATGTGTAAGTTTCTTTGTTTGGATGTTTGACTTTTTATCCCACTAAACATTTCCCTAGGGTCCACGCGGGCGAAGCCGCTGGCGAAAGCTAGTTGTTTAATAATTAAGAAATTATTATTGTTGTAATTTAGAAACATTTTTACACAAACGAAGGTGTTCATAAAACTATAACGAGCTAAATGAGATTATTCTACATTTGAGATTAATCGTAATCGTTCTCTGAGTAGCTCGGTGGCGTAGTGGATAAGCGCCGCGGCCCGCGATCGTAGTCGTTAAGCAACTTTCGCAAGGGTCGGTCACGGGATGGGTGACCAAAAAACTATTATCTCGAGCTACTCCGTGCTTCGGAAGGCACGTTAAGCTGTTGGTCCCGGCTGCATTTGCAGTCGTTAATACCCTCCAATCCGCATTGGGCCAGTGTGGAGGGTCATGGCCCATCCTCCTTAACCATCCATAAGGAAGGCCTGAGCCCCTGCAGTGGGGACGTAAAAGGGCTGGTGATGTAATCGTTCTCCTCGTCCGTTCGTGTCCATTCCATCAAATCTGATACCTATCAGAAAGAAACTTATTTATTCAGTGACCATGCAAGAAAAAACAGAGACAAAAGGTATATAATTCGTCGCCATCTCTGAGGTCCCAGGTTCGATCCCCGGTCGGGTCAATGTAGAAAATGAACTTTTCTAATATTGTGTCGGGTCTGGGTGTTGTGTTACTTTTGTTGTCTCAGATACTCCATAATACGGGGGCTTTGACTACTCATCTTGGAATCTGAGCAATGTATGTGATATTGTGTAATATTTATTTATTTATTATTATTAATACTATATGACATTAAAAAGGCAGCCACTCAGCATGTGTCGGATGTCTTAGACAGTCCGACGCTGATGTTCCGTTGCAACCTTATGTTCTAGAGAGCACCACCACGCCCAATGCGCTCATATCACACCTCTTATGTAGAAGTTTTAAATGAAATGAAAATATCTTTATTCAAGTAGGCTATTACAAGCACTTTTGAATCGTCCAAAAAAATTTTTCCCCTACCACTTGTTCAGGACGTCTTTTAGCTGACGAGAAGAACAAGCGAAAGAAACTTACCAGCTTTTTATCATAAGTAATGACATTTACATAAATCATGTCATTACCAAAATAATATGTATTATCACAGTAATAAATACAACTTTCAAAGTCTGTAGGACATAGTTGGTACATATAATTAGTCTTTATAGAACAAAGCGAAGACTATTAATTCCATGCATTGCGATCCTTAAAATAATCATCAACTTTATAAGAGCCTTTACTCATAAGTATGTTCATTACATGAATTTTAAATTTATTTGTGGGTGAATTTTAAATCGTATATTCTCCGTCTGTGCAGGCGGGGACAATCTCGGATCGCTGTTTGCGTCCGAAGAATTTTCCACTCTGTTGGAGGAAACCGCGAACAACTCGAGGTCGAGTCGAGTCTTCGCGGACAACTCCAGCCTCCAGCAAGTGACCTGGAGAGACGGGACAGGATGATGCTATATATTAAAAAAGGCGGTAAATTAATCTATATGTCGTATTTTATTAAATATAAAAATATTTATAAAAAGTTGTCTACATCTCTATTATTTATGTTATCCCCCCTCCCTTCCCCTCAGATCCCAGACCCCAACAGGCTTGATTTCTGAAATAATTTGTCGATTTAAATACAAACAGATTTCGAGGAGAAATTTGTTTATCTTAGTAACCGACCGCAGCTTTTATGATCATATAAATTGTGTATAATGAGGTTATAAACTGGTAGTTAAAATTTAAAAGGTAATTTTATTTTCTTTTTAGAGGGTTCAAATAAAAGCTTTTAAAATAGGTTTTTTGTTCTATGTGACTGTTCCAGTTTAACATACGGTCAGATTAAAAAAAAATCCATTGCCATAAAAAAGTATAATCACGAGTAAAAATACATTAAATATCTATTTCTTCTCATGATTATACTGTTTTTATTTCAGGGGAAGTTAATTAAAGTAAGTACACAAGTGTACCTGTGTACGTGGAACGCTTTGTACTGACGGTTGTGCCCATATATTCATTAATTAAGATACTTCATACATTTTTCTTCATCACTATATGTAGTTAAACTTACATAACACAGATCTCTGAGGTATATAACCTTCCTTATTCTTGTTTTCCATGGTAAAATATTCAACGATACTATTATAACCAGAGGTCGGAATTAGGTAGGGTTATTTATGTACTTGCATCGAAATGTTGATATTAATGTGGACCTGCCCGGGATTTCTAATGGACAATCCCGTGTGGCCAACAATCTTACAACTAAATAATAATAACAACGTCAGAGAAAAACAAATAAAACAAAGATAAATAACATAAAATTTTTATTAGTTTACATTAATTTACAATACAAATTATTGATAGTCTTAAGCAAATTCTCATACGCATATTTCGCCTTTTTTATAAATACGAGCGAATTCTTTTGCCTAGACTCATAAAAAATAAAATAAAAAAATAGGTAAATAAAATTAATCTCGGGATTTGAGGCATATCCACTTTATTCTTTCGCTGTACGAAATCAGTGTAAAGTACATGAATAACTCTACCTAATTCCGACCACTGATTATTACAAATCAAACTTAAAATACAAATATTCAATAGAAATAATGGTGATTAATCAGTCAGAAATTAAAAATAGTATTATTGAAATAAGTACACATTAACGAGGTCGTTAAAATATTTCTAATAAGATGACTCATCAAATCAATTAACTTAATTGAGTACTAGGTAATTTTATAGAAACGTTTATTGCTTTAGTTTGACAGGTATGTTGTAACTTTTTTATAATAAGCACATGATAATAAATTGCGATTTTGCAACAGTCCAATAATGTGTAACGAAATTTTTTTTTCGCTACTTATGATATAATTTTACAAAAGGCGTTTATTATCAATTTTGAATGGAAGTAAGAACATAATAGGGACCACACCTTCACCATAACGGTTCCTACAGTCTGTTTTCTGTCTCTTATTAAATTGTTGTATTGTTACATTACCAAAACAGATTTCTTTCTTGTTTTGGCCTGAAAATCTTTAATTTTATCAATTTTAACATTTAGTTTTGGAATTATTTAGGATGGCTTGTATTTCG